ATATAATTGATAGAGTATAAATTAATTTTTATTTTTTCTTTTTTTCATTTTAAATAATGACGTTATTCTAAGTATAGTCTTTAAAAAATAGAGGAAAAACAAATTTTAAGGCAGGTAAGTGCAATTTTTTTTTCTTTTTCTTTTCTTTATATTGTGATGATTATGTATTGTCTCTCCTCCCTTCCCACCCGCGGAAAAAGAAATCTTAATTTAAACAAAATCTAAAATAAGTATAGATCAAAAGGATTAAGGAAAATGTTAAAAGATAATTTTATTTCACATTCATAAGCTAATGTTTGACCTTACAATTTTTCAAATGAATCCTTTATCATTCTTGATCTGCATTATTGGGGTACTCAATATATAGGGGGAGCACCATCATAAATATTATCGGATACAGGTGGATTGCACAAACACATGCCATCAGCACAAGTGCATTTAGGACAAGTTGGACAAAAATGTTTACAATCTGAGTTTTTCCTACAACCTCGTCCAGGAGTTGGGTGTTGTGCTTCAGATTTCATACTCAAATCTGAATCCGCAAACAATACATGAACGTAAGAACAACCTTGTAAGTGATGAGTAAAAGATATAATTGATGTGAGGGAAAAATCACAATGAAACATTGTATAGGAAATTGACTCATTTGATCATAGGTGATATGATTTCTTACCTGAGGCAATAATTATGAAAGACAATAAAAATACCAATTTGATCGAAGACTTCATTGTAAACTGCGTCTTATCAAAGAATATGATCATCCAACACTATTCCATCTTAAACTTATATATATATATATATATATATTTTGGAGGGTTGAAACGATACCAATGTAACTTTTACTAAGTGTTACATCGCTCAATAACTTTATATTAAAAGTGAATTTTGTAAATCCAACCGTTAGATTGAAAGTTCTTTACTCTTAGATTATATATACAAAATTTTATATTAATCCAAGATGATTTGATACTTTATTCTTATAAAATAAAATTAACGTAATATATTTATTTCAAAATATACTATAATATGAACAATTTGATTACCCTCAAGTTGTTGTTCAATTTTAACAAAATTGGATATACACATATAAAATGATATGAACTTTCAATCTAACGGTTGAATTTACATAATTCACATTTAATATAAAGTTATTGAATGATGTAACTTTAACTAAGTGTTACACCATTCAATAACTTTATATTAATTGTGAATTTTGTAAATCCAACCGTTAAATTGAAAGTTATTTACTCGTAGATCATATATACAAAATTTTATATTATATAAATTTAAGAACTTACTCTGTTTAATAACTCATGTTCTATATCAAATCTCAACAATCTAACCGTTGAATTTAAAGTTCTTAAAGTATATATCAAATCTACAAATTTTTTTAAAAAAATTGAAAATTATTTGATACTTCATTTCATTAATTCAAATTGATGAATAATTATAAAAAAAATTTAGAGTAAATTTTAATAAAATCAACTTTATTTAATATTTTTAACTCAAAAATACTTTAATAATAAATGAGAGCATTATGTATTATATGTGATTAAAGATATTTTAAAAAATGTAGTGTATATTTTTGTGTAAAATCATGTAAATTAAATGATTGAATTCTTATACCGAGTGAAATTAAGTTTTTCCCCCTTATATATTGGCACAAAAGAAGGGAGTACCTAAAACATTTGCACTTATAAGTAATTATATACGTGCATGTTCATACATTTATTATCTTCATTAAATATACTAGTTATTACAAACCTGTCATTACGTCTACATTGGTTTTCTCTAGGTACATATTAATTTTGTTACTTCAATGCTCTTTTTTTTTTTTTTTTTTTCAAGTATTAAGTGAGGCTTTGGTTCCCAAATATTAATTGAGTTATTTTAATTTGTCAATATTATGATTTTATAATTTTAGGGGGTGTATTGGTTTAGGATTTCGTAGAATTTTAAAAAACTTTTTTTAAGTAAAAAAGTCTATTGGTATTCAATCAAGATTTTATATCACTTAAAAACAATCTAGTGGTATTCAATATGGATTTTCAAGATTTTTTAAAGAGTCCATTAAAATTCACTTGTATTCATTTAAGATTTTTTACGACTTAAAAACAGTCCATTGGTATTCAAAAATATAAGGATTTTAAAGAATTATTGTGTGAAAGAGATTTTGAAGGACTTTCTAGTGTTATTTATAAATACCAGATTCATAAAACAATCTCATCCAAACCCATCGGATTTTGAAGGATTGTTTGAAGTGATTTTTCAAGTGTTTCAAGAATTTTTAAGTGGGTTTTTCATCTTTTTTTTCTATACTCCTGTCTTCTCCATTTTTTCTCTACTAATAATACTACACTATTGTTCATTACTCATATATAATATTGTAGTACTGTTCTCATCTCATTCCCCTATTTTGTGAAACTCTTATATGTAAATGATAGTATCATTGACTTGCTCTATTTTTCTGTTCGTTCTCTTTAATTGACTTGCTTTATTTTATTCTATGAGTTGAATTTGTTCCTTTATATAACACAAAGAAATGCTTGAAATTTTAACTTTTAAGTGGTAATTTTTTTATAACACACGTCAATAAAAGAAAAAGGTGAAAGATGAAATTGATATCATAATCTCTACAATATATATATATATAAGATGAATTTGTTAGGATTTTTGTGAGTAGAATGAGATGAAAATGCATCTTAGTTGGGGGAAGAACTCTCTCAGCATAAAAACTGCACACTCTCTCCTTCCCTTGAATTTGTTACTCTTATCCCTCCTCCTTTTATGACTCAACAATTATTTTATTTTATTTACTATGAATTTTTCTTTTTATTTTTATATTGTGAAATTAATATTTTTTTATATTTAAA